GGTCCATCAGTCAAAGACAGTATGCCACGGGATAGCTTTCCTTTCCCAACCTCCAGTTCAGCCCACCAGGCTAACCATGGCCAAGACGCTCCTGCTGAGTCAGCCTTGTCCTCCTCCTCCCGCACCGGCCCATCAGACATCTCTGATGACTCTGACAAACCCAAGCCTACACACTGAAAGCTGGGTGAAAATTTGTCCTCTTTGATTCTGGCTACAAAGACAACTCGAGCTGCAAGGAGAATGTGTTTTTTAAGCTTTAGCTTCTGGGTCTATTGTTTACACCCGAGATCAGCTGTTGTAGCTACAACCATCGGCGCTGATGCGGGAGAGGCCTGAAATCCCCAGAGAACTGAGGAGGAAGTACAGGGGAAGTACAGGGGACGTTGGCTGGAGGTAAAAAACAAAAAAAGAAGCGGAGATATAAACCATCTCTCCCTAATAAGATGGATGAGCTGGCGGGCTTGGTGAGGACTCAGCAGGTGTATCGGGAGAGCAGCGTGCTGTGTTTCACGGAGACGTGGCTCCACGAGGACATTCCGGACTCCAATGTAACTGTGGACGGCTTTCAGACGGGCGGACAGGAATCACAGTGAGAGTGGCAAGAGGAAAGGTGGGGGACTTGCTATTCTTATTAACAACAAGTGGTGTCATCCTGGTCACGTTACTGTGAAGGACCGTGTGTGCAGCCCGGACATTGAACTGCTTGCTTGCCATATTATCTGCCGAGGGAGTTCAGTCATGTGATCATCCTGGTTGTTAACATTTCTCCGACTACAAACGCGGCGCACGTGAGTGACGTCATCCACACCGTCGTCGCGGGACTCCAGACACTGTACCCAGACGCCTTCATCGCGATATCTGGGGACTTCAATCACATCATTGTCCCACCAGGGAAAACAAGACACTGGACCTGCTGTATGCCAATGTTAAGGATCCACTGCCCTTCCTCCTCTAGGAAGATCAGACCACAACCTCATCCACCTGCAGCCCCTGTATAAGCCTGTATAAGTCCAGCAGCTTCCTACGACCACCAGGACTGTGAGGAGATGGTCACAGGAGACCGATGAAGTTTGCAGGGCTGCTTTGAACTAACAGACCGGGAGTTGCTCTGCGATTCGCATGGAGAGGACATTGATGGGCTCACAGAGTGCATCACGGATTACATCAACTTCTGTGTGGACAGTGTTGTTCCTACAGTGACTGTACGCTGTTTCCCCAATAACAAGCCGTGGGTCACCAGAGACATCAAGGTCCTGCTGAATGAGAAGAAGAGGGAGCAGATGAGGCGGGTTCAGAGGGAGCTTATGGAGAGGATCCAACAGAGTAAAGACAGCTACAGGAGGAAGCTGGAGCACAAACTCCAGCAGAACAACTTGAAGGACGTGTGGAGCGGCATGAGGAGCATCACTGGCTACAAACCATCTGGCAGCCAGACAATAGGAGGTGGTACTGAACGAGCCAACGAGCTGAATCTGTTTTTCAACAGATTTGATGAGAGGGCTCCGGACTAACCTTCCCCCAGCCTCTGCAACCATCTACCTCCAAACCTCCAACAGACCGGTGGCGCTGATGTCTCACCTGATGAAGTCCCTGGAGAGGCTGGTCCTGTCACTTCTTCGGCCCCTGGTCAGCTCATCACTGGACCCTGTTCAGTTTGCCTACCAGCCGAGACCCGTGAGACTAGGAAGTGGAGACGCCACATCTTCCTGCTCCCACCGTGCCTACGCCACCTGGACAGACCCGGAAACCACTTTAGAATCATGTTGCTTGACTTCCCAGTGCGTTCAACACTTCATTATTACCAATTTCACTTCATCACTTTATTTATTGTACTGTACCTTATTAATTATCCTGCTAACAAGAATGCTGCTACAATTTTATCACTTTACCACTGTACCACTTTATCCAAGCGTCCTTATCACTTATTAGTTTACTTATTTAGTTCAATTGTTAGCTGCTAAATGCATGTGCTTTGTTGTATATTGTATATGCCTAGTTTAACTCAATTTTTTTGCATTTGTTGCATTTAGTACTTATGTTACCGTAAAGTGCCTTGCATTGTCATTTAGTTAATTTTGATTATTTTATGTTAGCCTTTATTATTTATT